TGTTCTGAGCTTCTTTAGTGGGGTGGGGCAGGGTGGCCATGGCAGTGGCTGACAGGATCCACCCAGAGTGGGCACATTTTATCACCAGAAGGCCTGGCCAGGGATGACAGCTTCTGCAGCCCAAGGGAAGGTGTACTTTTGCAAACCTTGAACTAGATCCCCATCCTGGCTCTTAGAAAAGTCTCTAGGACACTCTGTCCTGCTGTCCTGGAAGGACTCAAGCTACCTCTCTCCCACTGAGGTAGCCCTGTATTTATTCAGAGCTGGTGTCCAGGCCTGAGAAATCCTGATTTGGGGGGCGGGGTTCCACCCAGATGTGCCCACTTGGAATAGTATTTGTCAGTGATCTGAAAAATTATCACTAAGTTTATCTAGCTGGTCATTAAGTCCCCTGTTATCCAGTGAGGTGGCTACTATTATTGCTGTTGTTTTATAGGATTGAAACAATGGGACCTGAGAAGGATAATGACCTGCCCGGGTGTCACCAGTGTCACAGCTAGCACCTGATGGAACTGAGATTATTCTCCTCCCAGATGTTGTCATATCCCTCAGCCTCCAGGGAAACAAATACTTAGATACTGGACATAAGAATCAGACACTCTGGAAAGATTATAGTGACTGCAAGTGCCAGGGGTTTGGAATAAGACTCTTCACTTGGCCACAACAGAAATGTCTGCTTGGAATCTTGCTCTGTAGGGAAGGGACAGGAGCTAAGATTGGACAAGACAGGCATCTGCTGGGTGCCAGCCTTGGGCTAGCTACTTTCGAAAAGAAGATACTGGCACCCGGGAGATTATGGAAACAGCCTTTGCTCAATGTTACTGGAACTCCCTTGGATTTAACATACCCAATATGTCCTTAGGGACCCTCATGAAGAAACTAACACCCTTTACTTGGCTGCTGAATGATGCCGGTCAGAGTAGCTTAGCTAGCTTTTTTTTTTTTTTTTAAAGATTCATTTATTTTTTATTTATATGAGTACACTGTAGCTGTCTTCAGGCTCTTTCTAGAAGAGGGCATTAGATCCCATTACAGATGTTTGTGAGCCACCATGTGGTTGCTGGGAATTGAATTCAGGACCTCTGGCAGAGCAGTCTGTGCTCTTAACCCCTGAGCCATCTCTCCAGCCCACCTTAGCTAGCTTGATGGAAGACTGTCCATACAACACATGGAGGCTGAGTTAGCATCCTTCAATATTCCCAGAACAGCCCATAAAACAAAAAGAGAAAGTATAACTCATTCAAGGTCATCCAAGAATTTAAAATTCAAGACTGGAAACTGATCTTATGATTCTAACATGATCCTGCCTCCTTCATATTGACTTCCAAGCACATTAGTTAGTATGTGTGATTATAATGAAATACTTGATGTAGATAAGCTTACAGAGAAGAAAGGTTTAGTCTGGTTCACAACCTCAGAGGGTTTGGTTGTGACTTGCCTGACGCTTTGGGGCCTGTGTCAGCACAATGTTTCATGACAGAACACCTGCCAGAGAAAGCTTAAATTTTCTACCACCTCTCATTAACATTCTGGGGATGAAGCCTTTAACACTTGGGTATTTGGAGAATGCTTCAGGTCCAAGCTATAGCACCAAGATGAGTTACTAAAACCATTGCTAACCTGCTTTTCCAAGTATTTGAATTCACAAGTATTTGACTTGTGAATGTCGATGCACTTTGGATAGCCTTTGCACTGTAGTATGCTTATGTCAGCACAATTAGCAAAAACTCAATAAGGAACAGGGCACTGAGGGAAGGGTAGAAGTGGAAGGGGAACTTGTGGTCAAGAAGGAATAATTGGGGAACATACTGGGCTTGGGACCAAGAGCAGGCATTTAAAAAAAAAAAGAAGGCAATGGAGAGACAAGACCATTTGAAAGCAGGTAGAGAACTCAGGAGAACAGTGAGGGCCAATAAAAACTTTATCAGACTTTTTCCTCCCTGAGGTGAACAGTTAGACCTGGGGTTACTGCAAAGACCTGCCCACAGGGGGGAAGGTGCTCTGAGCTGTACTGGTTGCCTTGAAAACATGAGGACCTGAGTTTAATCTCCAGAACCAACGTAAAAAAAACTGAGCACTGTAGCACACACCTGACATCCTAGCACTGAAGACATAGAGACAGACGGGTCCTTGAGGCTGCATGGCCAGGCCAGCCACAGAGCTTGACTCAAAACACAGGCATGGAATACCACCGGGGTTGTCCTCTAACCTCAGCGAGGGGGCAGTGTACACACACACACACACACACACACACTCACACATATACCACACATATACATACACACACCACACACACACACGAGCACATACACACATACCACACACACAGACACACACACACACACACAGAGACACACACACACACACACACAAGCACATACACATACTCACACACAAGTAAAGAAATAAAGACACATGAGAAGCCTCACTGAGCATCTGGGCTCAAGCTTTTGAGACTCCATAGCTAGCAGTAGGAATTCCTGTTCCCTGTGAAAGTGTTCTGGCCTCATCCCCAAGGTAACTGAACTTGTGTCTTTTTGTTTTCATTAATTTTTGTTGACGTCACCCACTTGTCTTTCTATCCACCTGTAACATGGAGCCAAGGGCACGAAGCCAGAGAAAACAAACCAACAGACTATAAAGAAGAGGCGTTTAAATCTGTATTGTTTTATTCCCTGAGTGAACTCCTTCTTTCCATCCCTCCTTCTTTCTGCTTTTTCTTTTTCCTTGAGAAAAGCACAGTTTTCCCGCCTTGACCTTCTAAGTACTGAAGTCACAGGCATGAGCCACCACAAGAGTACCCTGGTTTCGAAGCACCTTGGGCACCCAGGGAAAGACAGGTCTGTGGACAGAGACAGGTCCAGTTACAAGCTCATTTGCATGCATTAATCCTTAGGCTTATTTACCTTGAAACCTGGTCCAAATATTCATAATTCTAGAGGACAGGCATCCCTTCAGCTTCCAGATATACCACAGAGCTCTCCCTGAGATGGGGTTGGTGCTGGGAAGTATGAATTCTCCATGTGTTCCACTCCATCCCCTGGGCCTCTCTCCACACAGCTGCCTTTGTTGTAGGCTCAAAAGCAGAGTCCTCAGTCTGAACGATAGTCTCAAAAGGACCCTGCATCGATCTGCATCTGATCCACTTAAGGCTGTGCAGCCATTACCACAAAAGCTCCTTGTGCCCCCGTTGACACCATGCTCCTGCAGGTTTCCCTGCACAGATTGAGGACTTAGAATGTTATTAATAGTAGCTGGCTGCTTGGGAGCCTGGGAATTTCACAGGGTCTAGGCCTGCTTGGGCAACACAGATCCCCCTCTTCTGAAAACAGTCAAACTGCCACTCGCTCAGGGCTGGCACTTTCTTCATTCCTTCCTGTGTTATTTAACTTTCATAGGCACATCCCCTCAGATGTTCCAAGATCCTAATTTACAGACAGGGAAACTGAGGCACAGGGATGTAAGCTGATTTGCCTAAGGCTCTCTGGCAAGACAGTTAACCAGCCATCAGTCTCCCCATTCCCCAATTCTGTGAAGTCCAAGGACAGACAGGGGTGTATTGCTCAGACTACAGTAGTAGCCAGTGTTACTTATTGCAAAAGGTCCAACCTGTTAATGACTCCAACTCACCTTTGTACCATTGAATGCTGCCTTCCAGAAGACTTTTAAGATCTCTAAGGCCTCTACTGAAAGCAATCATTTTTCATTGCAGTGCAAGTGGGATCACTATGGAAATCATCAGTATAGCGCTACAGAGAGAAGTGACAGAGCCAAGTAATGAAATGGAAAAAGGCCCTTAGATGTCCCTCAGACTAGGCACAACCTTAGTTATATTCTATGACCTGGGACCTTCAGTCTCCTCACCCTGTCCCAGTCTGAGGTTCGAAAGATGCACACACACACACACACACACAGACACACAGACACACACAGACACAAAGACACACAGACACATACATAGACACACACACACACATCTATCACCCTGCTTGCCAGCTAGTTCCTTCTCTGAAGGATTAATATATGCAAATAAGCTGGAAATTTCCTCAAACCTGTTTTTCCATGGGTGACCAAAAACCTTGGCTTGTCTCCATGTCTGCTGAATTCTGTGAACCTACCCTGTGTCAAGCTTCAGAAGGGGACCAGGAAGGGATCAGGCGCAGGGTCTGCGCTCTCTGTTCAGCCCTGTGGGCAAGGGTCATGACTAGCCTGTGTAAATCAGGCCCTACTGCTCTGTGTCCTCATAGAGAGAGAGGCACGCCCTCATGAGAAAGTGAGGGGCTCCTCAAGGGGCCAGAGGAGTTTTAAAGAAGCTACAGGTGGGGTACTGTGGTAGAGTGTCTGCTAGCTTGCACTCAGCCCTGGGTTCCATCCCTAGCTCAAGAAAAATGGCTCCAGAGGGTGGGGGTGAGGGTTTTTAGTGCCTTGGTAGGCACACACCCCAGAGGTAAGAAAGGAAAAGTGAGTGTGGTGGCCAGTGGTATCTGCTGGGACGTTTCCACTTGCCCTGAGATGGCTGAGACACTGAGACCGGCTTGTACATTCTCGGGCTGGGCAGCTGGGCTCCCAGCCAGGAAAACAAAACAAAACAAAACTGCTGCTTTGAGAACAAGAGGGTGGAGAGTTAGAGAGAGAGAGAGAGAGAGAGAGAGAGAGAGAGAGAGAGAGGAGAGAGACAGAGACACAGAGAGAAACAGAAACACACAGAGACAGAGTCAGAGGAAAATAGATGATGAAGAAAACCCAAGGATGACGAACCAGGGTTTGGAAGAAGGAGCCTATCGGACAGGAACAGGCTGGAGAGTAGAAGGTGGAGGTTGAGAGCTGAGGGAAGGGGCCACGGGGCTGACCTGCTGTGAGCTACAGACAGAAGCCCTTTTGGATGAGAGAGAGCTGATAACCTTTACATAGCTCTTTGCAGAGTGTCCCAGGGTGTTCTCTCTCTCTCTCTCTCTCTCTCTCTCTCTCTCTCTCTCTCTCTCTTTATCCAGTTCAATTATTTGCCATGCCACCCCTGTTGATATCTCCAGAGAGGTGGCCTTTTCGCTCCTTGTTTGGCTTTCTGTGCTGGGGATGGGAGAAGCAACAAGCAAGTGCTCTGCCATGAGTTCTCCCCCAACCCCACTCACTACACAGACCTGAGTTCCAGATAAAAACCAAAGCAATTCCTTAGAGTGCCCAGCTCTTCCCTACCCTACTAAGTCTGAGACGATGCCATGCCACCCACCGGAAACACCTGGGTCAGTGTCCTAGTTCCTGCTTTTCCAGTATGGTGCCATCTGCCCAGTTCACACCAGCTGCCCGCTTCCTTCTCTGGGCTTCCTGGAGTGACTCAGGTAGGTATTGTGTTCTTGTTTATCTCCCTGTCATGTCTTTCTCCCATGAATGGTAAGTGCCACGAATCTCAGCTCCTGAAGGAGCCAGACCTGAACCTGGCCACAGCAGGTACTTTGATGGCTGTGACATTAAAGGAGACCTTTGACTCCTTACCAGCCTTTTAGTCAGCCTGGCTCAACCCAGGCCTTGTGAGGAGTCTGACTGTCAAGTGCCTACTGAGTTTCTGTTTCTCAGAATCACAGCTCCCTGTCGGCCATAAGTTTCATGATCCACCTCGGTTTTCCTGGTCTCTAATACTGGCATGCTGTAGGTCCTGCCCTCCAGAGTCCTAAGCCTAAGCAGGGACCAAAAGCATGTGGCACACAGCTCTTCTTATCTCCCGATCATTACCCCTTTACCTGTGAATGGAAACCCTCCTAATACCAAAGGCTGTAGGTTAATCCCTGTCCTGTATGAATTTAATTTGAGCTACATCACGGTGCGTCTTCAATGGAATGTGATTTGTTTGATTCAACATGGATTTGAGTGACTTCCTAATTATCACACGTAATAATTACTCTTTTCTTTCTTTCCTTTTGTTTTTGGTTTGGGTGGTGGTGGTGGTGGTGGTGGTGGTGGTGGTGATGATGATGTTTGGGGTGGGGAGTATTTGTTTTAGAGACAGGGCTTCACTGTGTAGCCCAGGCTAGCCTGAAACTCAGGATCCTCCTAACCTCAGCCTCCCAAGATCTGAGATTACAGATATGGGAAACAAGACCTTTATGCTGTAATAAATAAAAAACTGGGGGATCCAGGCCAGTCCAAGCTGCCTAGTAAGACCCTGTCTCAAAAAGAAGAAGAAGAAGAAGAAGAAGAAGAAGAAGAAGAAGAGGAGGAGGAGGAGGAGGAGGAAGG